GGCCAGCCTATGTGTATGTAGATCTAGAGAAAAAAAATCATTCATGTATATATTTTATATATATATATATATCTGTTTGAATACTGTCAGAAAAACTGAAGCTATACTTCTCAGGTCATCCCTGAGAAATCTTTCTTTAGAATATCTGCTTACAATTCGATACAATTTGTGAGCAACTGCTTCTGAACTTAAATTGAGTGTACATAGGGAAACATACATAAGCTATGACTCACATGGAGATTTCAGAGATGAAACAGAGTTTAAAGCTTTTAAATGGAAAAGAACATAACACTTATCATTCAAGTAAGAATATTAACTACGGTACAAATTGACAACCAAATAGACCAAGGTGCTGAAAAACAAATGTTTATTTTTTCATAAAAGCCATAATTTACTAAAAGTTTTGCTGCCTTAATATCACAATTAAGTCTGCTAAAATTCTAAAATTAAAGATTTTATTTAACAGCTAAAATGCACTGTTTCTGACTTTTTAAATTATTCCTATTGCTTTTGTGATCACTATATAAATGGATTATAGTTTGCAGAGTTTCATCAGAATGCATTTTGTCTGCCCATTTTAAAGAAAAACAATAATGTTAATACCCTAGAAATCATTCAAGTCAGGAGTTGGTATGAAAAGAATCAGTGTAAAATGACTTTCAAGTACGCCACCTGAAGTTGATTTACTTCTACGATGTTTAGCTTACCGTGGTGTTCTCCCTGTCATAAACCCCACAGACCACGTGGGAGCAAAAGCACAGCTAACTAGAGGTCCATAAAGGGTGACTGCAAGCCAGTAATTCAGACGAAGTCCCAACCCCACCGAAGTCAGTGCCAAAACTTCCACCAACTTCCTCAGAGCCCAGATTTCAAGCCTGTGATCTGAGTACCTGGAAATCAGATTCAGTGAGTGAGATTTAACTACACCGGTGCAATTGTAACTCTGTAGGTCATCCTGACGTTTTGCAGTATGCCTACACTCAGATCTGTAGCAGTGCAGATTCTACTTTTTTAAAAATAAAAATATACAGCTGGCTCAAGAGTGAGCCGAGCAGTTGTGCTTCATTGCTAGCAATGGAGGAGCAGAGCAGGAACACAGCTAATAGCTTTATCTTACCCTGTGAATAGAAAGGAAGCAACGAATAACAGTTCTGGAATGGGTCCAAAGCAAAAGAATTCAGGAAATGGTGTGAAATAGAAAAACAACAAAACACTAAAGATGATGCAGAAAGGACCCAATAGCACTATGTGTGTAGAAGAGTGTCTTACAGTAAAGAGTTTT